GGGTTAATCATATGGCCAAGTAATAGAGCATCCCGATTGAGCACTAACTGCAGCATAGATGTATCTAGCAGAGCTGTATTTCAATCTCTTCTATTGTTATGAGCAGGTTATGTGACATGGGCTTGGGCCAATTGGTGATGTTATTTACAAAAGGCTTACAATGGCCGTGTTGGCTGCGAAGGGATACAGCTGGAGGTTTTCTGCTTACGAAGATAACAGGAAACGGGACCCAACGTTAAGCTCTGGAAGATAGGGTTCTAGGGGAAGTGCAAAAATAGGTAGTCCGAAATGTATGTAGTCGATATGGAATCTTTTAATTAGCCGTAGCCCGCTTTGATGAAGTCGTTAAACCACCAAGTAGCCAGCAAGTGGCTTATGCAATGCGTGGCCTGTTTGAGTGTTTCACAAGGCAGAAAACCTCCGGTGTCCCTTGCCTGCCTGCCCCAAAGGTCGTGGCGTAGGCTTAGGTTTTTTCTATCTTTCTTATTTAAGCCTCGTCCCATAGTAGGTAAAGGTTGGAAGTTAATTAATTAGTGTTAGTACGGATGCTGTAGCATTGGAGGTGCATAACAAACTATGTTCTACAAGGTAGAAAAGTAGCTGACATAAATCCATCATGAGATGAAAGATCCAGACACTATTCCTCGTACGTCTAAAGTACATACCTTCACTACGTCCAGCCAAACCTCAGTCATCACGAGCACCGCCGAGGGTGAAATCTATCACGAAACCCACCGTCAATACCATGAGGATTCCCCAATCAACCGTTCTAAACGTAAACCTCCGCCATTCTACTCATCGTCTTCATCCTCGTCTTCATCAATCCCAATCCCGCCGTGGATTTCGCTCATATGCGCGTAACACGCGCGGGACTCTTCAAACGTCTGCAGACACACCCAGCAGAGATGGACGTTACACCCACCGCATTTCATGTGGTTGCAGCCATCGATCTTCTCTACCGTAGTCTTGCATTTTGGACAATCTTTTACGCTGGATCTGTTCTCGTGCTTGTAGGCCTCGAAAGCCTGGGAGGCCCGGTACTCACCGCAGCGTCGGCCGTCGTGATTGGCATGACACGATCGGCAGATACGTTGCAGGCACTTGAGGCACATGTGCCATGACGACGACGCCGAGGCGCTGGCCGGACGATAGATGTAGCCGCAGTCGGGCGTTGGACAGTAATGGAACTGGCTAGGTCGGCGGGCGATGTACATGCTGAACGAGGATTCTAGGAGCTGTTCAAACGTCGACGGGTCAACGTGGGCTTGGATCTCTCTGAGGGGAATGGCGTTCTTGCACTTGTCTTCCGCACCTGTGCAGGCGACGCTCATATCTGCCTGTGTTGTGCTATTTCTGCAAAGCCCCTTAAAGCAATCGGTGCAGTAAGTATGTCCGCACCCAAGCACGACCGGGCCGTCAGCCGGCGTAAAGCAGATATTGCAGCTTTCCTCTTCTGATCTGGCCTCTTTCACGGCGAAGGAGATGTTACTCATCTCGAGGAGTGCCAATATTTGGCCGTATTCTTCGTCGGAACCGGTGATTATCAGCTTCTTCGGATTTGATGTCACATTGAGGGACGCTACCTTGTCCCCTACCACAGCCTTTAACAGGCCTAACCCGATTTTACAAAGCCAGGAGAATCCGGCATTGTCGATATCAATAGTATGACGCCTTTCTACGTCTTTAGTGAGAGATCGAACTACGTCTTCTTGAACTGCCATTCGTTTCCATGAGTCTCCGAAGCACCGAACCTCGCGCTTTGATCTATTGGGCAAGAGTAGTACCCCGTGATGTTGTTGGATCTCTTTCAATACTTTGGAGGCTGGCCCATTACACGCAAGTTGGGGAACCCAGAACGGGTTGCCGTCTTTCCCCTCAACCACATCGCCAGCCACAATGTCTTCAATTGCATTAGCACATTTCGCAACCTCTTCGGAGCTGCAGCTATCAAGACGCAAGACTGTACAAGTGTCCCGGCATTTTACGTTCACTCGCGGTGCATCCAGTTCCTCTAAGCAGTCTTGTAGGCGCTGCTCAACGTGATGGTATACTTCTTTCGACACCTTGAACGTCGAGTTGTACAGGAGTTTGGCTGTAAGATTGACATCATAGGGCAATTTATAGGATCTCTTTTCAATCACTCGCGCGGCTTCCTGTGCATCACAATCCTGTTCGAAATGAGCAGACGCTATCCAATATCCGCCATTGTGTTCATACGGTTCTGTCATGAATTCGATGGGACCAACGCCATCAAGCAACTCCTTAATCGAGGTCACGGTATTTCTTTTCCACGCGGATCGGCGTTGCACGACAATATGTAGCGGTGAGTCGTAGTCAGCCGTAATAGAGACTTCCACCATTTCCGCGTTGCAGCGATAAGGTAGCCCCGATAGCATGACGGGATACAGTCCGTCGGTTGATCCTAGCAAAGGCTCGTCGCAATGAATGCGCGTGTCGAGAACTTTGTATTTACCGCTGTTGAACTTTCCGCTTACTCTCAGGGCAGTCGCGTATGAATTGAAGAAGAGGTAACACTCACTGCGGGGCGAGGACCATCTCAGCTTCAATTTGTTGCAGCGAGCTCGTCGAGTGGATGCCCATGGCGGAAGCCTTGGGGGTACTGGCACGGCTTTCAGGTTGCGATAAGGGGCATCTATCAGACTAGCGCTCAACGTCTTCGAGAATTCAAGATCCGGAGTACTGATATAGGCACTGCAAAGGGAAGTGGGAGATTGGGGCATGGCCTTAATTCGCAAACCATCAATCTCGATGTCATGACCAAGGTCTTCTAAAATGCTGATGACGTCGGCGGTGGTCGTGTTGGCAGCGAGACCGTCCAATCGGACTGATGAGTACTCGGAGGGGAGAGAGAGACTCGTGACACAAGCGCCATCTCCGTAGCAAACGAGGGCGCCACAGAAGACTCTAATGAACGTGTCGTTGTCATGTTGAGGAGGCGCCTGTGCCGAGGCCGACGAGTTTAATGATCCGTGCTGGTACGGACAGTTGGTGCCTTGTTTGCAGATGCCCTCTATGTAAAACTTGCACGGCACCTGGGACCGAGGATCTGGCCGTGGATGGCTGATAGAAGCAGGGGTAGAAGCGTGACTGAAGCGGCAGGCATCACCATTCCTACAACGTCCTTGTTGGAAGAAGATACACGGCGTTGAGGTGGCGGCCATCATTGGCCTCGACGCAGCATCCCAAGGAACAAGTCGTTTGATTGCTAGAAGGCAAAAATAGGCTTCATAAGACGTGTAATTAGGGGATGATTCAGGCTGCTTTGATCAATAATAGAAATAGATACTTACACAGATGCCTGCCTACCTTAGGTACTGTTGGCTGTGTTTGTGATATTAGAGGGAGTTCGGTCAGGTTTGTTGGTCGACAGGCAGGATGATCATGATGTGACAAGCTATCGAGATAAGATATCGAGATTATGAGCAGAGCGGTACCTAAACTGTACCCCGGGAATGCAGTGGGTCTAGGAACACATGCATTGAATAATAGACAGGTACCCGCTAAAGTGCGCCTGGTAGTACCTAGGTATCTACCGGTACAATATGTAGACTGGAGGTTAGCCTAGGCAGACAATTACCCTCCTTTCCTAGGGTTATCTATAGTCATGAGCTTTAGTTTCTGCTGGGAAACCTATGGTCCAAATAAGAACCGAAATTTTTCTATTTAGGACTATGCATAAAGCCCTTGTAGCCTTCCCACCCTCCCCCGGAGCGCTAAGGTAAGTACTTGAGAATGGTGCTAAATTAAACTAGATAAGCGTCTGCTCTGTTTGCCCCATCCAATAGCTACAGAAAGTTAAGTGCCCGGCTTAACTACATACGTTCTAGTTACTTTTAGTACTGTTGTGGCATAGTGCTGCCGTTCCGTTTCGTGACACTATTAGCACTTCGTAAGGCCAGCACTTTCCCTTGCTCACCCATTTTCTACTTTAGCTACAAGTCCCGTAATAAAGATGCTTTTACAAGAACAACCACGAACAAACAGCGGTCTCATATTGCCATATTATCTGATAAGACTGGCAGTTGGCAGGGATAGTGGTAGAGACAGGGCCGAAGGAATAACTAATACCGGAAAAGGGCGAAGAGATGTTGGAGCTTACATTGGCATCGAAGACCAGGTTGAAAATATGTCGACTAGATAGATTAAAAACGACTGTTCCATTGGCGGCTTGCTCGCCTAGGGGCTATAAACTACACCCTGAACTCGGGAGCATTGTAACCTGAAGGTTGCATCACAAAACCAATACTGATTAGGTTGAAGTGGACTCCGAAGATAAAGCTTTGATCTCTAAGGTATGGTCGACTGCAGTATTCAGAAGGGGTAACCCAGAAGAATAGTTCAAGTAATTAAAGAGTGATCATTAAAATGTCTGTAGTAGTTTCAAGCCTACATCCGGGTTTACTTCAAAATGGAATGGAAAGCACGTCTAAAAGTAATAATACAAACGAAGGTTGAGTTAAAACAGAATGTCCGGGTGCCATCTCGAAACGCGAGCGCTTTAATGCATGCGTTCTAAGTAATCAGACTATGATTTCCCATACCCAACAACCTCATCCGCGGTCTTTCGCCCCGTGGAAGATACCCCCTCGCCCACACGAGGAAAGGTGGCTATTCTAGAAAATTTGGCCATGTCCTCGCCTTGAAGCGTGATCGTTCCGCTTTCTAGCCTGTAGTATCTAGATCTATCTCCTTCCGAACCAGAGCATCTACAAGCTCGTCTCTTCGATTCATCGCACTCCGTCGATGGCGTTTAGCAGGGCGCTTATTGACGGCAATAGAGCGCCAAGATCTACGGAAGTGGATTTGCGGTGCCAGTTGTCGATATCTTCCATAAACGCCATCTATTTCTCGGGAAGGCTTCGAAATAGACTTCATTGTCAGTCAAGGAGGTAAAGGCTCAAGGCCAGAACTTTACTGCGCATACAGGCTTCAGAACGGTATAGAGTATATTCCCAAAAAGAAACGAGAATTCTTCATCGGGACCCGTAGCTCAGCGGTAGAGCATCTGATTCCAGCTCGCTAGAAACAGCATCCAGAAGGTCATCCGTTCAAATCGGGTCGGGTTCAATACCCTTTATTTTTTCTGCACATACCTAATATTGTTAGATCTATTTAAAGAGTAACGCGCGGATTTCGGCTGTAGCTCTGCCCATTGACTCTAACAGCCATGTCTTGTCGTACGAAGCGATCGGGATGCCGCAGTCCAAGGTCGTACTGGACCACGGCACCATTTATGATAACGTCACCGAGCACAACACAACAAATATTAACTAACTACACCGGTAAGCTTAATATTAGCTGCCGGGCCCCCAGCTAGGGAGACGTTCTATTATATACGCAACCAAGGCCAGTAAAAAGCTACTTAATTGAATGGGGAACTGCTTGATCAAATGGAACGCAAATCAATTAACTGAAAAAAATTCGAAAATTAACGAAAAGATAGAAGTATAGACTAACTAGGTGTGTTATTAATGGATGAGATTGCGACGGTGGGTATTCTGTCTCCGTGACAGTTGATGCAATTAATTGTATGCTTGGAGACCAGGACGGGCTAGTTGACATGGCCTGAGGCTATTTTCTCAAATCAATTCATTCATACATACGTATATTTCCTTTTTGCATAGTTTACTAGTATTATATTAGTTAAGAGCAGCAAGGAAAGTTATGAAATCCAACACATACTATCTATCCCTTTCAAAAATCCCAAGGTTTGACAGTTCACTTGCAGTATGAATGATAAAGCCAATATGAAATAGACCGCATGTACCTAACGTCAATAGTATCTAGCTTGACAACTATATTAGCAAGCGTAACAATGCACTCAAGGAGATTCATAGACTTTGATATCTGAGGAACTGTCACCCATTAGTTACATTAAGAATGCGAGAGCTTGGATCTCATTCCAATCAATCCTACAACCGGCCAGCGCTTTTCGGCCAGATGGCCAGTGTGAGCCTTTTGCTTATACTAGACATATATGCCTAAGAGATGCCTCATCCGTTGAGTCATCACCATGCATAAGCCCGTGGACATAAGCCTCACTAACGAGTCGCCACCGTCCCTCATCCGCATCCACGGCATTCAAAACAAAGGGTACTCTCGCACCCGACAAGATCCAGACCCTGTCACCCGGCATTACAGACTGGGATGCGATACCAAAGTAACCCGTAGTTGTTCTGAAGAGCCTTCGCCGAAAATACGCAACCCGGAAGCTTTCTTCAATATCCTTCCGATCCGATTCCAACTTCCGCTCTTCCGGTAAGCCCTCTTGCTCTTCTTCCACCCTGACCATGTCTTCGATCTCTCGTAGTGTCGGGATAACTTTGTCTTCACTATACCTCGAAGATAGGCTCTCTATTATCATCTCTGTGTCACGTAGGACCGCTTTAAGCTCAGCTGCCCATTGCATCTCGTCGTAGTCTTCCAGATTTCCAATTTCCTGCCTAATTTCCCGAACGCGCTGCATGACAAACGTGGGAAAGGCATGTTGCGCCGACATACTTGCCTGACTTCCACGAAAGTTGTCCTTGATCAGCGTTTTCCAAAAAGCAGTGCAAGGAGATATGCCGGTAGGGTAACGAATCTGGGGATATGCAAGTAGCAGGTTTAGCAATGAACCAAGCTCGAATTCGTTCATAATGGCGCCGTAGGTCGGCGCAACGTCTTCTACGACGTCAATTTGAAAGCCATAGACTGGCAAAGCCCGCATCTTGCAGTCTTCAGGGACCCCAAAGTTGGCATGTAAGTATACCGAGAACGGTGTAGGCCTCGAATGTTGGACCAGGGGATATACCTGTGGCCCCTGACTATAGTCGGGTACCCATGACGGCAGCTCAATTAATCTTTCGCTCGAAGTGCCTTCGATGAGACTGAGGACATCCAGATTCCTCGATTCATGTATTGCAGCAATAGTAGCTTCGATATAGACATCTGAGATATCTTTGTTGTAATCGGGCCATATGTCAATGTTGTCCACCCCATTGCTTCGTGTGAATCTCCACAGTCCTAAGACGGCGTATACCTTATCCCTGGGATCCGAGGCCTCGAAGAACCTGCTATAGTGCAAGAGCTGCCCCAGGCCTATAACCTCTGCGGTGCCTCTGTGTAGCGATCCGAATATCAACTGATTACTGAGGCGGTTATCAGGAAGTCTTATGGCATCCACGTCCAGACTGTACTGTGTTGCGTAGCCGACGTAGGCCTTTAGCAAGGTGTCCATACCAGTCTGGGCTAGGACTCGAGACGATTCTTGAATCATCGCCCATTTGATCTCACGTTCGCCACAGAAGACTGTCGTGGTCGCAGAGAAGAAGCTCTCCTGGACGACCCACATGCGAGTAAACCATTTACGCTCTAAGAACGCCGCGTAGTGAAGTAAATCCTGCAAGTGAACATCTTGGATCCCTATGTCCTTGCACAGTCTGTTTAGAGAGTCGAGGATTCGGAAACTGTCCATGTTGAAGGAGCGGAAGGTTCTCGGCGTTTTGGCTAAGGCAAGAGATACACTCGCTAGGCTTTTCAGGACTTTAATTGCCACCCCTGTGTGCTCGTCCTCTTTGCCGAGCCATATCAGCACACTCTCTGCTTTTTGGTAGATTTGGTCCATCACTGTGATATGATCAGTAACATGACGTTTTTTATGTCTGAAACGGAGATGTTTCAGTACTATTTAGATCTAGGACTGTAATTGCGAGCTTTCTGTCCGCCTGTCTCTACGCCATCTGGGAAACGATAAGAAAAAGATAGTGGAGCATGTAGAGAAATTGTAGCACGATTCTTTACATACCAACAACTTGGCCGCTCCTCTCCTCAGCATCCTCTTGGTTTATGCATATTGCATCGATCCACCAGAAAGATATCTGCCCTTCAGCATCAGAGCATTGGATACGACTAACCTGTTGAAGCGCATCGACAAGATTCTCAGTAACCTTAATGATGGAGCCATCTTCGTCGTTTTTCACGGAATGATCACGTTCACTGGACATCTGCACATGGTTGCCGGGCGAAGAGAGACTTCGATCAAGAGGATCACCCCATGTGTATGAGAGACATCTGTATGGCGGCGGTTGGGAAAGACTAACTTCCTGAAGCGAAACTCTCGTCGGCTCCTTGGGTTTTGATAGGATTTGCACGAGACGTATAGTTTTGGGAGTTGGTGCGAGCTGAGGATAGACGAACTCCTGTAAGATGCCGATAGCCATGATGCTGTTTCGATTGGTGTTTTCAAGGGAAGAAATATTTTGACGCTCAATATTTTACGAATGATAGTTTAGGATTACCGGTTTACAATCTCACACAGTATCTTGCAGCATACATATTATTCAGACATGATTACATTGAACCAGGACGACTTTATAGGATCCTTTACTTTTAGTGAAACCTCTATACAGCTCGCAGAATTCTTCTAGGGGCATATCTAGCAATTCTACAACTTAAACTAGATAATAAGGATAATTAGACCCGAGTACGTGGGAGAACTTCTGCTTCGTGGGGCGGAGGATTCACTGAAAGCCAAAACAGGAAGGCATCCACCGGTCCCGAAGAGGATGCCAGAGGCAGAGTTGTACTGCGTCTTAGCATGTGCGTTTCAGCGATTCAAGCATATTTACCCACACAAAACAATTGATCAACTCATGGGAGCGAACCTCCCTGCACGGCCACCATCATTCCGTCTGATAGCAGGTGGCGCATGAGAGTGATAGGCATGGGGTCCCTGAGGCTGGGGTAGAGATGGAGTGCTCCAGCGTGCATCGATTGAAACTACTGTGAAACAGAAGTTCTAAAATAAGATATCGAAGCAGTATGGAAGGCTATGTGCATATTATTAAAAAGATGGGACCAGCCCTACAGGGTTCTGTAGGATTGTGATAGATCGGAGTTAATTCCAGAAGGAAACATTGGTGAGATTTGTTATGCATATCAGACGTACAGTGACACTTCAAAGCCCTACGGGGTCACGTAGGATTAAAATAAAGATGAACTAACTTCAAATATTACAACTGTCAATGTAAATATATATACAATTCACGTTTGCTTATCGAAGTTTCCCAGCTACTTGGGCCATTTGTATGATGTAACTGTATTAATAATGGCGTACCACGGGTGGTTACGTCCTTTCATCTTCACGGTGCTGGGCACCTCATTAGCTGCAGCTCAGGGGGGAACAACAACGTCGTCTGACTCTTCGCAGCCTCCTCAACCGGCATGTAGTACAATAGTTAACGATCCCGACGGTAAAAGCACCAACAAGTCATCATAAAGGAGATATCGCTAACATTCGCATAGGTGCCTTCGTATTTGACGCCAGTCTCGTCTACGAATGCCTAACCAGTGTCCCATTCAATCCGGCTGTTGCCGCACGATTTCTAAAGTATTATAACGATACCTTAAGTTTTCAAAGTACTCTCTCTTATCTGAAGAGCCCACCATCGACATATCAACAGCCTAGCGTGGACCTTATAGGCGGCATCCAATCTCTACAGGATGCGGTGAACAGCGGCTCATTCGCGAATCAGTACGAGTTCGAAGCGGCTCTACAATTACTCGTGAATAATGCGCATGACGACCACTTATTCCTCAATGCCGGTATCCTATCGGCATTTTCTTTTGGAAGCCCATTCGACATCGTCTCACTCTCAGTCGATGGTGTGGAGACGCCCAAGGTATACATAGGGACGGACGTGTTCGATAGTAATGCCTTCACTTTTTTTGAGCCATCAGCCATCCAATCCATAAATGGCCAGAACGCCACAACGTATCTGGAGACTTTCGCTGCTGGAAATGTCGCTGGTTCGGTAGACCCTCATACGGACTGGAACCGACTCATGTTTAGTTTTGCTCAGGATATTCAGGGGTCTTTTAATGTCTTCAGCGGACTAACTCCTTTTTACCCTGGAGAGACGATTACGGTTGAGCTTGAGAACGGCACGACGATAACCGAAAGGAACCTAGGTATCTACTGGAGTCAAGGCCCTACAGGACCTTTGGAGACGGGAGGAGACTTCTACAACTTTTTCGTCCTGGGCTTTCTACCCGCATCCTTCGACCCTAGCTTGGAGTTTGCCGAT